TGCACCCCCTAACTGCTCCGTCTTTGGGTTGTTAAACCAGCAGTGTTGGTGACCCAGTGGAGCAGTGACATTACTTCTTTAGTCATTTAAAACTGCTTGGCCGTAGTAATTGGCTGGGAGGCCTAAGATCTGGAAGAAATCATGCTCCCCCAGCAGCATCGGGCAGTGTCACTGGCTGCGATAAAGGAAGTAATAGTGATGGAGCGCAGGTAAGCGGGAGGGAGCACTTTGCACAGACACTGTCACTTTGCCCTACAGTGTCTCTTTAACCCCTCAATGACTGAGGCCTTTTTTTTTAGTTTTTTGCACCCATGTTATAATGCCCATTATAGGCCTGAAAATTACTTCAAACCCCCAAACATTATATATTTTCTGAAAGCCAAGACCCTGTAAAATAAAATGGTGGCAGTTGCAAATTTTTATGTTGCACAATATTAGCACAAAGTATTATCAAACCCAAAAATTTTGTGAAAAATGCACTTAAGTTAAATTTAGTGCCCCAAAACACAAAAAAATAAAATATAAAAAGATGAGGTTACAACAAGTAAATAGATTCCCAACATGCCCAGGTTAAAAATTGTGTGCGTCTTTGAAACGGCGACAAAATTCAGTACCCCAAAAAGTCCATAGACGACATTTTAAAAGCCCCTACAGGTCATCAGTTTTGAGATATACATAAATATTGGCCCTAGACATATTGCTCTGACTCTGGCGTGCGCGGTGATACCCAACATGTGTAGCGCGATCATCTTTTTCGTATGTAGGCACACCCGGCGCGTGTTTACGTTATGATGCGCATGCTCGCAGGGTGGTGGACTTTTAACAATTTTTACCGACCGGACAAGCGATATGGCGACAGCTGAGTTGCCAAAATCACTTCTATTGTAAAGCCGACAGTCGGCTTTACAAATGTAAAGAGTTGCCGGGATCCGCTGCCAGTGACGTACTATGGACGTCACTGGTCCCTAAGGGGTTAAAGCTTCTATGAGATTATAGTGGGTTTACAGCTTCTTTAATGAAGCCATCTTTGCCTATCCCATAGAGGGCTCTGCCATAAGTCAGGGAAGCTTCACCATATGTCCGTGTGTAGGCTTTCCGATATAAACACTGATAATCCATAAAAAGCCTATTTCTACAAATCCATACATCGGACCATTGTATACCTTCTAATTGCCCCTCATTTAGAAAAAAAAAACCCTCTGTCCCTCTTTCCTCCTCAGTTGTTTTTCTTTTTTTTTATCTAGACCTGTATAGAAAATGTACTATTTAACTACCAAAAGTCCTATAGTAAAAGTTGGTCTGTTCTCATGTATGACGCAGAAACATTTTCCCTCACAATGTCTCTAAAAAGAAAATCACAAGTTTTGAACTGTGGTGCTACAGGGGGATCTTGAAAATCAGCTGGACGGACATGGCCATGAATGAGGAGGTGCTGAAAAAGAGTCAATGAAGCAAAACCACGTCTGTTGGTAGGAATATTGAAGAGAAAATGCCAGTTTTTGGATATTTCACAAGAACTCAGCTGGAGAGAAGCTATGCAAGACTGGAGAAGAGAGCAAGGTAAAGACAAGGAGAAGAACATGGTGGTTGGATGACATTAACCTGGCAAGGCCACATGGAAAGCGATGGTGGAAGGTTCCAGGGAAAGACCACTAGTGGTCTGGGTAGCAGTAATAAAGAAAAAACAGTACTTGTACATCTAACCCCGTGTTTCTCAACCTTTATAGGCACAGTTTAAAAGTATGTAAAATGTCGAGGCATCCCACTCTAAAATGTCATTGTAAAAAACAATAGGGAATTTATCAAAACTGGAGCAGGCAGAATCTGGAGCAGTTGCCCATGGCAACCAATCAGCTTCTCTTCTGTTTGATCAGTTAAGATTTGAAAATTGATTGGTTTCCATGCACAGCTGCTCCAGATTTTGGCTGCTCCAGGTTTGATAAATCCCCCCCAATGTGTGGTCTTATCCCAAATAGGGGTTCTAGTATGGATTGTCCCCACGATTTTAAAAAGGGCCCTTCAAATCAAGAGCCCCCCTTTACATTAGAATCCCCCTTTCACACTAGAGTGCTTCCTTACATTAGAAGCTCCCTTCACATTAGAGCCCCCTCGTAAACGATGGGAGGTGGGGTAGGCCTGGATGGAGGCGAACTTCTGTCGGTTCCTGAATGGATCTCACCCTCCATGCATTAGCATTATTCTTTTCCATGATGTTGGCGTCCAGCCTGCACCATGGAAAGGCATGACGCTGTGTGTAAATTTCAAGGCACCACTGAGGATGCCAAAAGGCACCCTGGTTGAGAATGGCGAATATAACCAATCATTTTTAGTATATTGGTCCTTCATGGTCCATGTCATGGTTATGGCAAGTGTATGCCTAACCCAAATACAGTACTTAATTAATAGGGATGAATTCGTAGGGATCAATGTATAGAAAGACCAACACCAGTGCAGTGACATCACTGCTCTTGTAGCCCATTCCCAGATAGCAAGGATAACTTGCCACAAACTTGTGGCAGGGTTAAATTGTAATTCTTGTTAACTTGCTGCACACATTCCTGGCAAGTTGTAGACTTGCAGAACACTCGCAGCACAAGTTCTAGTTGACACTTTTTGAATTTGTAGGAAATTTGCTTGGCAAGTCTACAGCAAGAGTCCTGCGGGTCTTAGCAAGAGCTCTGCAAGTGTACAGCACGTTGATCTGGAGACTTGCAATGCAGACTTGCTGTAATTGTGCAACAAAATTGTGAGGCTTGCCAAGTCTGCAATAGTTTAGCAAGTCATTTTCAAACTGGCAGCTCAATTGCTTGCTATCTGGGTTGCTTACTTCCTCCAAATCCATAATATGAGGCCCAAACCTGTGCACTGACCTGGGGCTGGATTAATAGTCTGCAGAAGTCAGAGCATTGCACCTGCAACGCACTGATAGCAGTTACAATGCAAAAATGTAATAAATAGACACAGAGCTGTCCATATTAGTGATGGGCCGAACAGGCCCGAGTTCGGTTCGAACTTTAGAACATCCAAAAAGTCCTTAAGGTCTGGTAGGAATATTTAGGAGAAATCCACTGTAAAAAAAAGTGTGTGGGGTTCCCCCTTAAAGTCACACCAGGCTCGGATCAAGAGTCTGGTAGGAATTTTAAGGAGGAACCCCACGCCCCAAAATGGAGGGAAAAAGACGCGGGGTCCCCCCTAAAATTCCATACCAGATCGTTGATCCGAGCACAGGCCTGGCAGGGCCGGAAAAGGGGGGGGGGGGGACAAAAATGCCGCCCCCTCCCCCCCACCAGGCCACATGCCCTCGGCACTGGGAGGGTGCTTTTCCAGGGTCGCCCCTGGAAAAGCACCTTGTCCCCGCGCCGATGGCGACAATGGCCTCTTCCCCACTAGCCCCGGTTGTGGGGATGCGCACAGAAGGCTTATTCACATCAGGGTAGCCCTTTAATAAAGGGCCACCCAGATGCCGCCTCCCCCCGTGAATAAGTAAGGAGTACTTGTACCCTTACCCATCCACTAAAGGGTTAAAGAAAATTCTAAATAAAAAGTCCAGACTTTTGAAAAAATCCTTTATTTGGAAAAAAAAAAAAAGACATGTTTTTGACAAGTCTTTTATTAAAAAAAAAACAAAAAAAACTGTATCCACCGATGTAATCCAACGTCTATCACCACGTCTAGCGTTGTCCACGCTGATGACAACTCGACGAAATAAAAATAATTTAAAAAAACCCATCAAGTGCCGTCCCGTCGCTCCAACGAACACCCGCCACAGAATGGCATTTTGACAGATGCCAGTAACATATAAACATTTGGCTGGAGCTAGCAGTGACAGCTAGCTCCGCCCAACTGTTTAGAGTTGTAACAGGGTGAACCATGATTGGGCAGAGTCATCATGACTTTTTCCAATCATGGCTCTCACTGTTCTCTGTGCCCTGATTGGGAAAAGTCTTGCACCTGACCTGTGGTCAGGTGCAAGGCTTTAGCCAATCAGGGCTCGCAAGGCACAGTGACTTGTGCAGGGTACGCGGCTGGTGAACAGTCAGCGGAACACACGAACTGCTGATGTTCCAGTCGAACTCACATTTGGCTACAACATCGAGCCCAAACCTAGTCGATATAAGGCTACCTGAGGCGGTCGCCTCAGGCAGTATCTCATTGGGGAGCAGCCACATCGTTCCAGGTTGCTAAGAGCTCTTAGCAGCCTGTGACAGGTCCGCCCAGCTCACTGACATCACCTGTTGCCAGGTAGCAGAGCAAGGATGCTTCCCGCCTAGCTCATGGCAACGTCAGTCAGCTGGGTGGGACGCGGGTGTTCTGTCGAGGTGGCCAACTCATCGAGATGTCCAACTCGTGTCGTCACATCCATTGTAGATTTCGACGAGATGGTGCTAGTGCGCCAACCATCACAGTTTTTGCAATCCTTGACTTCTCCACTTGCCGTAGGTGTGCCTTCGAAATTGTCGGGTTCCCCAACTCCCGTCGGTACTTGTGGCATTGGGTGCCGGCGCAGGAGCACTGCCGCAGAATATAGAGCTTGATACTTCTCTTGGGTGGCTGCGCAGGCGCACTAACGGGAGTTGGAGAATTCGATAGAACACCGGACAGAGCTGCTGACAGAAAAATCTGGCATTCTCCCCCCCTCTATTCCCTGACAGCACCGCACCCCGAATCAACACTGCCTCAGGCGGCTACTGACGTGGTGACAGACCTAAATGCACATTTCTTTTATTAATGTTATTGCATTTACATTTAGCACTTCCATTAGAGGTGTCACCTATTCTACTGGCATGTATGTAACTGTGGTGGACACAGAGGGATTTGGGTACATAACGTAACAATAATCCTGTCACACAGAGGACGTCTACTGGAACGACCTCTTCCCCGCGGCCGCGGACTAATCTGATTACTGCCCAGAGAAAGCTTCGAGCTCAAACCAGCACCATCCAAAAACATCACCACCAGCCCAGCAGCATCCCTCCTTCCAATCCCGCCTCCGTCACATGACAGCTCGCGTCACCGGCGCCATGTTGTCTGGTTTGCGGAAGTGCGTGACGTCACGCCGCGGGGAAGGCCCGGGAGCCCCCCCATTGACTGCCTCCGAACGCATTTTAACCTCTTCCCCCCCAGATGGCGCCGCCCGATGGCTCCAAGCAGTACGGTCTTGCACGCTGCTCGTGATCGGGTGGCCGCCGCTGCACAATCAGGTGAACACACAGAAGAGCTGGAGGCTTCGGCTTGACGCCTAAAACTCTTTGGGCCGCGTAGTCGTGTGAAAGTCCACTATGGTGAAAAGTAAACAGGCAAACGCGTAGGGCAGCTAAGGTTTGGGTCCTTTGCGTTGAATTGTATAGGAGAATCCGGACCTTTAAGCGCTGAAGGACCCCGAATTTAGGAGTCTGTCCCGGCGCCTGCAGGATTTTCTTCTGCATGTGTCCTGTGGTGTTTCGGGTCGCTTGGAACACTTGAGTCCCCACCGATGAGGAGTGTGTGTCCCTCTGGATTGGGACTCCAGCCTGTTATGTATGCCATCGCCTGGTGATAAGCCCCCTTCTCACTAGTCCCTAAGCTTCCTAGTTGGAGCAATGTGTGAGTACAACTCACTTTTACTATCATCTGCACACTTAGGGGACAGGCTGGGAGCCACATGTGTTTTGGGGGCCACTGGTTGCTAACTAGTGACTTAGAGGCGGCTTCTGTAATGGGCTTGTGTTCACATGGGAAGCACTGACACATTCAATTCATTTCCTTTCCACGGGAAGTTTAGACACAAACATTCACCTGGATTGAAAGCAAAAACTTTGTATTAAGTTTTGGATAGAGCGGGTGAGGATTATAACCTGTCAGGTTGTCATGTCCCTGCTGCAGAAATTTATAGCTTTTTTTTTCGGGGTGTCCACCGTGACTCGAAATGAGAGGAAGTTGTCACTGGAACAGGAAGTTATGGGGAACTTTCCACCTGTTCTGATGACAAAAGGTTACATTCACTCTAGCCCACTACATTTGGTATATTTAACCCGTTGGGGGACCATGATGCTGAAGGTCATTAGGATGGGCCCACGTTTCCTCTTATGGCTTCACAGTGATGACAATTGGGAGCCCATCCTGATTGTCAGTAGTGTATGGGGAGCTGACTGTGTCAGTCACAGTTCTGGGGGTGCTGATTTAGCACACCCCCAGAACACAGCGACGCGTATATATATTAAAAAAGCCCACCTCCCAAGTTGCTGCATATAGGTGTTAGGTCAGGGGTGGTCAGCAGCTGTGGTGAAACTACAAATCCTATTATGCATTTGTTTCTGGGAGTCATGCCTGTGGCTGTGAGACTCTTGCAATGCCTCATGGGATTCGTAGTTCCACAACAGCTGGAGGGCTGGAGTTTGCCCACCCCTGTGTTACGCTGTCGTATCTGCTTCCCAGTTAAAGTTCTCCTACGTTTAAATACCTGTGTCTATGTACAGCGTTCAGCGTATCTAATCAGCTTCTCGCTTCCGTTTGTTCAGGTAAAAAAAACCTGAACAAACGGAAGCGGTGGTCGCCAGATCCAGGAAGATACTTGGATACTTGGTGTTTCCCCAACTTCCTGGGGGGGTATTGAGGGCAGGGAAGCAATTGGCTCTTTCTGCCGTCATTTATTCTATTGGGAGAAGGGACATGGACGCACACAGCTAGGCGCAGGAACAAGCACGCATGGGCGTCTCCTCGCAGCCGGCTAGCTGATGAAGACACCAACAAACAGTCCTGGGCGGGGGGGACAATCAGATTACCTGAACAATCTGATTAGATGCAGGCATTGTTCAGGTGTTTTGAAAGCCAGCGGGGCCGACGAGCAAGATACTGAAGCTTGGCCCAGTGGGAGATTCCTCCATTCACACAGTTTAGCGTAGACGGAGGAATCTGTTGCACTTTTTCCATCTGACCATAGAAAGTCTGCAGATAATATATAGGTGTATGGCCAAGTTAAAACCTTCAATGTTGTGATCTCTTAAAGGGCCAGCTCCAGCTGAAGGGGGTAAATAAAATACAAGTTTCACCATTTCATTACTGTTTGTTGCACCTCCATGCTGCTGATCTCCTGCAGCCTCTTGCAGGCATTTCTCATAGTAGGTGTTCTGATGGGGAAAAACAGTGGACCATGCCTGTGCATCGTACTTCTGAATGACCACTTGTTGCCTCTATTGGGAGAGGGTGTGACGCATGAGACTGGCATATTATCTTCACCCAGCATAACGGGTGGGCGGCCCTCCAGCTGCTGTGAAACTACAAATCCCATGAGGCATAGTTTCACCACAACTGAAGGCTCAAAGCTTGGCTACCCCTGGTCTGTACTGTCCTGCAATTGGAAAGTTGTACAGTGGGGTTGATTTACTAAAGGAGACGTGACTGTTCATTTAGCAAAGTGAATGTTATTGAATAAGGTGAGGCTGTTTTCACTTTCAATGTGCAATCGTGCTAGAAAAAAAATCCGATTTTAACTTCCCTCTCATGATTCAATATGCAAAGTGAAGACGCCTTATTCACCAAAAAAGCCTTTGCTAAGTGAGCAAACTCTACTCCTTTAGTAAATTGACAGTTTGGTGACTGGTAAGTTTCGTTAGCCCTTAGGCTCCATTCTCACCTATACCATAGGTGCGATTAGGGATTCCTGCGCCAGAAACCTGCGATTTCCTGCGGCAGTAATCCCTAATCTTCCGTATACAAGCGGCAGCTGTCACCCATTCAAGTTAGTGATTGGGTGACAACTGCTGAATCTGAATTCCGGCCACCGCATGTCATCGTATGTGATGCATTACATGTGGTTAGGAATCAATCACTATCCTTGAACGCATGATCGATGCGCCCAGGGATAGTTATCACTTCACGGCAGATTAGGGATCCCTGACCCAATAATCCCTAATCACACCTAAAATATAGGGTTGAATGGAGCCTTACTGCAAGACGGTTGTTCATTCAGAATGTTACATAGTATTCAAGGTTGAATAAAGACACAGGTCTATCAAGTCCAACCTTTGTGTGTCTGTGTGTGTCTTTGTTGTACTTGCATGTGTGAATGAGTCCCTGTGTGGTCTTAGGTTTTAAGAGCCCTGTATGTTATGGTCTATTGGGACGGCATCTTATTGATTTTTGACTGGATCAATAATCTCTGCTAATTCCACTTCTTGTGGCAGAGTTCCAAAATGTAACCACTCTGACTGAGAAGAAGCCCCTATGCCCTGTGTGGTTAAATCTTTTCCCACCAATTTTAGATGGTGGCCTCTCGTCTTTGTGACAGAGTTTAGAGTAAAACGTTTATTGCTGATGTTGCCATAGTCGCCAAACATAATGTAATACACACTATACAAGTGCTGGCATTTCAAACATAAATATATTTTTTAAAAAATGAAAATCATTGTATGTAAAAGTCCAAATGATTGTTGTCTGTAGAAATATCAACCCCTTCATGACTGAGCTAGTTTTCAGTTTCTGTTCATAAATGACTGACACACTTTTTAAATTTTTGCTGTGTGATATGGTTCACACCTAGGCGTATTGCATATGCAATACAAACGCGCGTTTCCGAGGGCTACTTGGCTGTATCCCAATGGAAACACGCAACAAAAACGGCCACAGTCGTCTCACAGTGGCCATTTTTTACTAAGGGCACATTAATATATCTCCCTTTACTTCCTGGAACTCTGGCACATGTGACTAGGACATGTAACCATTCACATCATCTCAGGGGAGGAAAACGCCTTTCCCTGAGATCCTGTGAGGTTACAGATGAGATTTCCCAGCAATGCTCTGCTGATGTAACCTTCCCAGAATGCAATGCTTGGACATAGATTACATCACTTGTGCAAAAGAGAACCAGGAAGTAGAAAATAGGAAATTGTACGTAAAATAAAAATATGTTTATTTAAATAATGAATGTGAGATGATTTCATATCAGGATGCAGAGTTGCATATTGACGTAATGTTTAGTGAAAAGGGGTAAAGGTCCACTGTAAGGTAGCCATACTCGAAATTAATTTTGTTCTGTTCCTGATGAACCAGCTGAAATTGAAGTCATGGGTGGCCCATGATGTTTGTCGAAGGATCTAGTCCCAAAATTTCCAGCTGAACAGTGCCTGCATCCATTCACATACTGTGTGGGTATTCAGAAGCCGCTGGAGCAGTTGCTGCTGAATGCAATAGCTGGCAACGGGAGATTTTTAAGATACTAAGAAAATATAGGGGCTGCCATTGCCTGCCTCTCCTTCTGAAAATTGCTAATTGCCTGGCTGCTATGTTAATCCATTGGATTCAGTACCTTCTGAGTGATTAACCTGAAACCAGTATGCTGATTGGGAAATGTTGGCCCTGTCCTTTCCCCCCGTACTGGGCTCTTTAAATGACAGCATGTGGTCTCCTTTTGGTTTTCTTTGGAGTATGTCAAATATTTTTCAATATCAATGAATGTTTTCAGTTTTTCATTTTGCTCTTTAGAGGTTACGGTCACTTGAAAGTAGGGCTGCAACAACTAATCGACATAATCGATTATAATCGATTATTGAAAAAGTTGTCAACTTTTTCAATAATCGATTAATCGGCTTTTGATAAGGTGCCCCTGTCCACAGCTCCACACACGTTGTGCGCCCCACCTCACGCTCGCCGCTGCCAGACCCGCCCGCATCCACGCTACACACGCCGCACCTCCTCCCCGCCTCACGCTCACCGCCCGCCCACATCCACGATCGGCACAGGGACGCGGGGAGAAGTAGTAAGGAGGAGAAGGTGGGGGGGGGGGATGACAGCGGCAGATAGACAGGCCCGATCTCAGAAGCAAGTTGCTGGAAGACTGCTCAGGTACGCCTGCACTTTCCCACACATGGTGCTCTATAATGTATTGCTGGGATTTGTATTCCTCTGTAGCTGATGGTACATTGTGCTGTACTGTATATTATACAGAGCAATGTACCATCAGCTATAGAGGAATACATTATACACTGTATGTATAATGTATTGCAGGGATTTGTTGTATTCCTATATAGCTGATGGTATTCTGCATTGCGCTGTATAGAGGACTACAAATCCCAGCAATAATACATTATACAGCACAATACCACCAGCTATAGAGGAGTACAACAAATCCCAGCAATAATACATTATACAGCACAATGCCGAACACCACCAGCTATAGAGGACTACAAAACCCAGCAATAGTACATTATACAGCGCAATGCAGAATACCGCCACCTATAATGCATTATTGCTGGGTTTTGTAGTCCTCTATAGCCGGTGCCATTCTGCATTCATTCAATTTTACACTTTTAATTTCACTATATTGCACACCACACTTTTTTTTTTCTTTTTTACTTCCACCGCTCCAAGTTTGCTCCTGTGATGGACGACAATCGCAATACAAACTAGCAGTCCCATCAATGGAGCCGTTTTTTTAAACTTTAATTTTAATTTTCTATCCGATTAACCGATTAATCGAACTTAATAATCGGCTAACTAATCGATTTTGAAAATAATCGTTAGCTGCAGCTCTACTTGAAAGCCAACATGTTGGCATATCAAAAATAAAATGGCTCTTCTGCTGCATATCAGGTACCCCCTGGAGGTGTATCTTATCGGGAGGATTCCAACCTGCACTGCTGCCCCATGGAAAAACCCGGCTCCTCTGGGAATGGGGCACATTGGGTACAGTCTGCCTGACCTCAATAATGCACTCAAAATGGCCAGTCAACTGGCATCAGCACAGTCATAGGTGGGGAAAGGGCTGTCTAGTATTATAGAATTATCTACTTTCACAGGTAGATATATGTATGACATATATCAATCGACATATATCAATCGACCTAAGGCAAATATGCGCCAGCATAGCGGGTTTGCTTTAACCGCTGTTCTGTGCTGGGGGGTGTAGTATGAGTTAGGGGTTCGTTTTGTATTTCATTAGCTGATGACAGGTATGCTTTTGATTAATTCAGTTTATTTATTTTACAGGGACTTGCAATGAGGTGCTAGAGCCTTGGTTCGCTTTTGCAAAGTGACTTGACCTAAATGGCGCAGCATGACTTTGCTCCAGCCTGGCTTAATTTCCCTACACCGCCACCCTCCACAAAGGTAAAATGCGTCTACTTTCTGTAAACTGTTGTTAGTTACCCGTTCTCTTCTATTTTAAAGCACACCAATGAGGGTGTAAAAAAAACACAACAGGGGGGTTACTCGCTAAAATGATGACGCAAAGAGCCTAAGGTCACAATCACAAAATAATAATGAACAGTCAGCGGGACAAAGGAGAGTCGCGATTCAAAATGGCTTGAACAATTTGCATTGTTCATTGAAGATCTGCAGTTAGTAGCAACAGCAACACCAAGTTTACTAGAAAGCACAAAATAAAAAAAAAAAGAATTGCACTTCAAACAATGTATGGGCGTGTCATAAAAACCGTCTTCACCAGGTATGCAGTGGTAAACAATTCTTACAAGGTTTTACCTGGGTAGCAGTCTGGACTGATAATCCCCACGTGCCGACTATTAGTGAGGGAGCCTGGATTGTGTACCACTGTATACATGAAGACATTTTATGTGATAAGCCCATACAGTTTTATCTGCACTCTCTAGTGCCAACAATTTTTGCAGTGCTTTACATTGCACATCAGTCCCTGCCCTCAAGGAGCTTACAATCTAAGGTCCCTATCTCACATGCACACAGGGCCAATTTAGACAGGAGCCAATCAGGGGCGTCCCAAGGCTGGGTGACACCCGGAGCAGTTACCGAGTGTCACCCCGCCGACTCGCCACTGTGCATGCGTGTGGCGTCGCCAAGATGAGTGCCACGCGTGTGCGATGGCGTCATCGCACTCTTTTGATACCTGCCGGCGGCCATCTTGGTGAGAGAGGAGGGGACAGTCACCCGGCAGGATAAGGTATGCTGCCGGGTCCCCTCCTCTCTCTCCTGAGATTGTCCATGACCGAGCGCCCGACTTTTCAGAGGGGGGTGACACCAAAATGACTGTCATTTTGGTGTCACCCCTCCAATAATGTGACACCCGGGTGCGGGCCACACCCCCCTTGTGACGCCACTGAAGCAAATTAACCTTCCAGCATGTCTTTAGAGTGTGGGAGGAAACCGGAGTACCTGGAGGAAACCCACGCAAGCACAGGGAGAACATGCAAACTAGCAAAGGCACAGCCCTGCTTGCATCCCACAGCCTGGTGGTTCATGCCTAATCAACTTCATCGGGTCAGGGCAGTAAATATTAAAGCATGCTACAAGATTTTCATTAGAGTAAAACTGTGCCCATACTAGTGAGATAAAAAACGCTGCCCCATTTAAAATGAGGTGCTGGGCGTACCTGAAAGCCAGTGGTCCCATGTGATTAAGAGTCTTCTCATAGGACTGTTAAAAGTGATGGAACTGATACTCCAGGCCTTCAGTGGTTGCCTTGCTGTGGGGTGTTAATAAGTGGGAATCGGCACAAACACCACCCCTGCCCCCAGTAGAAAGACTCAGAGTAGGGACACACATCCCCGCTATTTCTCCAAGGGCAGATTGTGCCGTCTTGTTCTTTAGAAAGAGTCAGCAAGTACACAGCTCGTGCTAGGCCTTATAATATAGCCCTGTGTTCCCTGCATACAGTGTAAGAATGACATCACACTTTAATAAATGTTTATTTGTAACACAGGGATTTTATGGAAACACTACAATTTGTATAAACTATCATGTAAAGCTTAAAACTAAATGATAATAAAATGAATGTAAAAACACTGGTCCTTTTTTATAAGGTTGACTTGTTGCAATTCACATTCTTACGTGGAAGCAGGGCTTGCAGTGGGTGGTGTTTGTCATTTCCACCTCTGGACTGGTTCCATGCTGGCTTCAGAGCCTAAATAAACCCTCTGCTGTAGCTCCCCAGCTCCAAATAATAATGCTGCTTCTAAAATAATTTGATACAGCTCTACTATAACATCTACATGATTTTCTCTATTTAGCTTTTAGTAGCACTTCTTAGAGTTCTCTGCATTGCACGTTTGACACTAGTGTGGTCATGTTGGCTTTTTTGATGAAGGCATGATTTTTGGAGCAAATAAGGAGGAAATCAGTCGACGGCATTTAGATAAGTCATATATGGTGCAAGGCAGATAAAGCAGTCCTTTGCACAAGAATGGCAGATGAGAATGAAAAGTCCTTTGGCAGGTAAAATGGTGAGCATGCATTTTACATTGAACCTGTACTTTGCCCATTCTAGGTACATGTCAGTTTCATTTGGTCATGTAAGCACGTGTGGCATAGCAAGGAGAGTGTGGTGTGTTCACCTATACCTGGAAGAGCCAGGGATTTTTGCAGATGGTCTATTGATCATGGACATTGGATAAGTTAGTACTGGGTCCTTATGGTGCCTTCTTTAAAATTAACCTGTTGGTTTATCTAGGTTCACTTCAATATGCAAAGTGCCCATACTAGTTGTTAATTCCGTTTTTTCCCCTTCATTGCCATCTGCTGGTGAAAGATAGTATAACTATATCCCTATAAAATATATTGAAGTTACCAATACACAGAACAGGAGTTCATGTATTGAAATAGATCAGCTAAAATATTGTAGCTTGATGCATAATCCCCCCCCCCCCACCTGACACTATATAAAATAGGCGATAACCTATGAAGAAAACAGCATTATACATACCTGCCTGTTGGCCCATATGCTCAAATGTTAGGACGTAGGAGTTGGAACCCCTTTTAGGTTGTTATTGCTGCTAGTGCTCCCACTGTGATTTCACCACCTTTTCCTGGTGACTGTTGTTTCTGGGATGGTAGAAATAAAATTTATGGTTGTCACCAAAACAGAAGGTGGGGGTAACTCTTTCAATGGGACAGTACAAAAATTGCTCAGCACACTCTTCAGCTATATAAATAAAACATTTACACTGTTTCAATAGAGGTTTTTGTTGCACAGTTTTGCAAATACATCTAGTGATGCTTCTCGTCACCTAGTGACGATAAGCATCGGGGCGGCTTCCCTGCTAATCGGGAAGCTGGGTGGCGAGTCTTTACACGCTGCCCGGCTTCCCGGCTAATCAGCCAGCCAGATGGCTAGTCGATACACGCTGCCTGACTTCCTCAATGGGACTTCCAGTACTTGGTATTTGGCTATCGGCAAGTACTGGAAAAAAAATATTGGTACATTTACTCTATACCGAAATACCGGTATCGGTGCATCCCTATTTTAAATAAACTATCACTTTGACATCTATCTACTAACACTGTCTGGCGGCGCCATCCGCAGTCATTATGAGCACCCCCCCCCCCCCCCCCTCTTTTGTTGTGGGGTGTCC